CATCTTCCCCCCCCGCCCCCCTCCACCCGCCAAATGTTTCTGGTTACTGAAAGAAATCTGTTGTTTTTAGAGTGTTTCTTCAGAGGTCCCTTCTGTGTTTCTTGATGAGTAGTTCTTGGCTCTTATCATGCTCTGTCAATTAATGGGCAAATAAATATTGTTTACACACTTAAATTTTCCTGCCACCATCTCACGATCTTCTCTCCTATCCGTAATAGTGCTCCTCTCTCCAGAAAATGTGTCTTTGTAATTGTAATTGCAGAACTCCAGCCTCCTAGGCCCTTCACATGGTCAGGTCTCATTTACGCTTTGCCCTGGGCTTAATCACAAAGCTGTTGTAGTTCGGACTAATAGTGCTGCTGGTTCTGTATCTGTCCCTTTGGCATGCTCCTTCCCTGGTTCTGCATGCCTTCATTCAAGTTCAGGAAAAGTCTGAAGGTATTTCACACTTGGGAGGAATAGAATTGGTGAACCAGGGTAGAGAAGAGAGGACTCAAGTTTTACAAAGATGGAAAAACTATTTAAAATTTCTTCTAATGATTTACGGAGAAGTGACTGACTTTTTTTTTTTTTAATTAACTGCAAGTTTAATTTCCTCTCTCTGTGTGTTTTAATTATCCTGGCAGTTCTGGCTGGTGCTGTTACTGTGTAGCATCAGACTATTCTGTTGGGGTGGTAGGGTGTCAAGCACTGGGTTTGTTTTGTGCAACCACAGGCACATTCCAAACAGCAGAACTTGCTGCTGGGTTCATTATTATTTACTGTCAGTGCAGATTTTCTTTCCGTAATGCATTAGGTATTTAAGACAGCTTGACGCAGCTGGAAGGCTGCAGGTCAGGTTAGGTTTGCTGGACATCTTCGTTCCACCTGTGTGCAGCTGGGAAGAAGGACAGGACATTTTGTCCTGTGCCTAAACAAGATCAGGTGCATTTCTGAAAACATGAGTAGCTCCTTCCACATGGCTTGCAGGAGCTTAGTTCTTCAAAGTTGGACAAAGCTAGCAGCTGCCCCTTATTGCTGAGACTAGTAACTTTAAGATCCAGCTGTACTGTGTAAATATGTAACTTGGAAATTATTAGTATCTGAATCATGATTTGTCCTTGATGTCTCTGAAGTGTTTGTAATGATGGGTTTAAAGAATGAGGAGTTAACATTCAGGCATGTTTAGTAGTTGAGATGGTTTAGAAGTCAGATTCTATCATGGATCTGAAGAAGGAAAACACTTTAGCAAACAGTGACATCGTTATTACATGGGGCATCTGCTGGGACAGCAGTAGGGAACAAAAGCATGTCTGCACCTCAGTTGCATTGTAATGCATGCTCTGATTCTGCTGAAGTGCCCCACAGTTAAACCTCATCACGTCTAAAATGTTCTTTTGTTGCAGGAGCGGATGAATTTGGCACGGCAGATTGAGAAAGCAGAATTTTTCAACAGTCGGGCAAAGCAACACAACTCCTGGCTCCAGCAAGCTGCAGAGGCACTTGAGATTGATCTTGATGATGACATGTTAATGGGCAAGTAGAAATGCTTGTTTATGGGTGTGCTCAGCTGGTCCCATAGCAGTGGCGTCCAGAAGAAGCCCCACCATGACAGAGGAACTCTTAAAACCTGTAGGGCAGAAGGAGAAGGAAAGGAGTGTCGTTACTTAGTACTGTGTGTTGCTGGTGTTTTCAGGATGATTGTGCAGTAGATAGTGCTGGAGCTTAGGGACTGAGGTGTGGCAATTCTGGCAAGTTGCAGACAAGTCCACATATCATAGGACAAGAACTGTTTAGCTTCTGGCAAACGTTTTAGGGTAATCTAACAGCCCAGTATGTCCTGTTTGAGTCTTGTCCCCTCTGTGTCAAAGTAAAAACTGTTTCTCCACTTCTGCCTCTCTCTCTTATGCCCCTGTAGTCAGGCAGCAGGACAGGAGCCTGACAGCTCTATGTGGGAACACCCAGGAAACACTAGCAAACACCAAAAATTATGTGAGCCTTATGTAGGTTGAGTTGTGTGGGCTAAATGGCCAATACTTGTTGCTGAGGTTTGTGGTGGTATGTTAGAAGTAAATAATTTCTTCTATTTTTAAAATTAAATGTTCTGCAGGCTGTGCCTGAGAGAACGTGTAGGGCCATGCAACTACAGATGCCTATTAGTTCAGTGCCATGAAGATTTGCACTGCTTAGATGCACTGCAAAATGCCACATTTTGTTCAAATTTTAGGAGCTGAAGGTATGATTTCCTACCAGTTCTTTGAAGGCATGCTGAATAGGGGTGCTGCCTGGGTCACTTCAGCTGTCTCTAACCTGTTAGCTGCTAAATATGCAGATGCCTTAATTTCGAAGCATGTTCAGATTAATGTTTTTTCTCTCCTTTATTCATGACTGGACTAGCTTGTTCTCAACCACTTTGCAAGCAAGCACTAATCGTCTCTGTCCAAACTGTTCAGGAGAGCTCTCAGATAATTAGCACTCTGCTGTCTTGTTTTGACACAATCTGAGTATGCTGTGCTTTGAAATGAATTTCAAAACAGCACATCCAGTCCAAGTAAGTTGTGGCTCCCGAGTGAAGCACTTTGTAATTGCCACCCAGAATCTTGCCAGATTCGTGCTTTAAAATGTATTCAGTCTCTGGTTCTTCTGTAGCTTGTTGGAGACCAATTAAAATCTCAGTCATTCTTCCCATACATGAAATGCCTCTTGCACTGTTACAAAGGATTTAGTAATGTCCTTTCAATTTACATTACAGCAACCTTGATTTCATATATTCTCCCCAGTTCAGGCCTCTGACCATATTAACTATCTCCAGTCTTTTCTATGCCCTTCTTTCTCCTGTGTTATTAAATCTGAGCACCTCATTGTTTTTTACGTATAAGGAGGAAAGGGCTTCCTGTTTTACAGATGCTGAAATGAGGCATGCATAAAGTAATGAAATACACAGAAGATTCTGCCTGAGCTAGGAGCCCTGGGTTACCTTATCCTGGGCCCTCTTTCCTTGTGTTCGAGTCTGTTCTGGGTTGAGAGCTAACTGAATGATTTAGCAGAATGATACCTGGGGCATAGTTACTCAATAGTCAGGGTTCTTCTTGATCTTGTTATCTGGGTGATCTGGAAGACTGTATGGGAGTTGAGTGACCTTGTTAGAAAGATGAGATTAGCATCTGCCCCTAGCACTACAAAAGCCTGGTGAAAGAGGTCAATGCAAGTTCTTATCTTGTTGTAACATTCTGTATCTTTGATTTCTGCCCCAAGGAAGAAAAGCTAGCGAGGAAGAAGAAAGCCAGAAGCAAAAGATGCTGAAGGGGATGAAAAAGCAGCTAAAACATATGTTGTCCCAGCCACTGTTTAAAGTCCTTATGAAAACTAAGTACCCAACACAGTCTGGAAAACTACTCTTGCCTCAGACATCAGTGGGTATTTCAGAATCTGCTCTGGGTACCGTGTCCAAACAACAAGCCAAGAAGAAGAAATCAGTAAAATTAAATTAGATAACTGAACAAGGTCACTCAGTGAGACAGCAGCAAGGACAATCCTTAGCAAGGCTGTCAGTGCTTATGGAGGAACTCAGCTAGAAGACATGTAGTATCGGAGGATGTTGCCTGTGTCTTGGTTGTGCAGGCACAAAGCAAAATGTTGATTTAAAGGGCTCTGTTAACATGCATTTAGTTACTGTTGAATCTTGCCTTGGATCTTGTTTCCTTACGTTCTTACTTATTTTTTCTTAGTCTCTGTATTAATAGAAGTTAATTAATTTTGAAATCGTTCTGTTTATTACTCCTTTTTGTGAGATGGGTAAAAGTTATTGGGTAAAATTCACTGTGGGTGTACTGTAATGATAAAACTTGATTTGAATTTTAATGTCCTTAAAGGAACTGGGAAGGTAGGCTGTATACAGTCTGAGTACAATCTGAGCTGGTGGTAACGGGAGATTTGGCTTTTACGGGAGCCAGCTCAGTGAGCAGGGCAGCAAATATAGGTAATGTTACCAGCAGATCTCCAATTCTGGTTATGGAAATCTCTCCCAATTTTCTTTCTCCTCTGATAATATTTATCTTTTCTGTTCTCCACTGGGTCCAGTTCCCTTAGTCCTGTGTTAATATGTTTTAGAATGTGCAAAAAAAGTGAAGGTGGCAATGGGCCAGGACTGACCTTTGGAGATGTGTAGATTTTTGAGGAATAAGTGTTGCTACTCAGTGTTTTCTTAATTCATATTTGGCGTTAAGTTTGTATTTGAAAACATGTTAGAACCATGACCTTTGCTTTAATGGAAAAGATGATGATGTTGTGAAATGTCACTTTTGAAGAGTGCTTCCTGATAATTATGCTTTTAAATCATTTTAACCTGACTCGGGCAAATAATTTTTAAAACTATTTTTAAAGATATGTCAGAAAAATATATTTTGAATTTTTGTTAAATTATATCTGCTATAAAACCCAAAGCCTGTGTCTGTTTTCAATCACTTGAGATTTCTAAATTCCTCATAGCTGATGCCCTTTGCACTTAACATGCAAGGAGGGGGGAAAAGCACCCAAAAGGTAAGACATAGCAGTGGGATCTGTATTGTTGGGAGCACAAGGAACGTTCACCTGCCGGCTCTAGATTGTGCTGAGGTTTTGTGTCTCATACAGTATAGAATCAGTGTCACGGCAGTGACAGGAGGCATCGGTTTACTCAGCTAGTCAAAGAGAAATCTGCCTATGGAGTTGAATGCCCCCTCCAACCACTTGCTGGTTGTGTGAGAATTGCAAACTCTATCTGTGTAAATAATCGAAGGCCTCCCCTACTTTTCCCTTGCTTCCTTGCATTACTGAAGAAGAGCTGTGACAATTTGATCATAAGCATACAAAGCTTATCAATTACATATGAAGCGTTCCTTGCAACGCACTGTTTGTCTCATGCCCTTTGGTGCAGAGGGGGGAAGTTTTGGGGAGGAAGAGATGGTAAGGTGCTGCTTCCTCATGGATGTGAGAACACGACAGATCTTTGGAGTTAATGTGACATCTGAGAAGAAAAACAAGAATTTAAAGAAAGTTCCTTGTAAGGAAAGCTGAAAAAAGGACCTGACCAAAGGCAAGCATACCCTCATTCCTTTTCTGTGCTATTTTAATCACATTCTTACATTATGAAAAGGAAACTTGCATTGATTTTGCATCCCTGAAGGCACTGAAGACCAGGTGGGCCTTTTCTGCATCTTGTGATATATTTCTGCTTAGAATTCATCAGCAAAATCAAGGCTGGATCCTGACACTAGAGCTCTGCATCTCCTCCCTTGTCTGAAAACCTGCATGAGGTAGGACAGTTTTGGCAATTTCTAGTTCCATGTAATCATGAGGAGAACTGAATTAGGGGACTGAAGAGTATTGTTATTTCCTCTCCATCATTGCTGTGAAGTTTTTCAGCTGCTTCTGTTTCCCTGTGTTTAACAGTCTAGTCCTCACACTCCCACCCCACTATCTTGCTAAGTCTCCCCAAGATGGAGCATGACAGTTCTGCCCTCCTCCTCGCCTTCTTCGTGCTTGCCTGTGGCATGCTCTGCTGCTCATTTTCTCCTGCAGCCTCTGATGTGCTCAGCATGAGCTTTCAATGCTTAATCTACTGATGCTGCACCCCCACAGGAGCTCAAGCTGAGCCTGGACCCTAAAAATATCTCAATGTCTTAAAAAGAATACTTGTCTAGCGCTCTCAAAGCTCTCTTGTGGCTGCCTGCTTTGCCTTGTCTTTCTCTTACAAGGATACCCTGAATCTTCTACCTGGAGGAAAAGCCTTATGCTTGTTTTAGCTAATTTAAATGAATTATTATGCAGTAACTGGAAAATGTTACCACTTAGCTGCCCTCCTCCAACGTGAACTAGGTTACTGCAGGAAAAGAGGAAGGCAAAGGATGTTGTTTTCTTCAGCTCTGATTATTTGCATGTGTATCACTGGTGCAAATTGGACATGAAGAGTTTTACATCAAGTGCATATGGGCAATTTAATTTTAGTATTTAATGAAATATGTAGTATCGAATGGTTTCTGTAATGCTCTACTGGCACAGCAGTTACACTGAGGCCTCAAACAAGTAATCTTGTGTTTTGTGGCAGCTTATGTCTGCTAAAGTACCCATTAATTAAAGGACTAATTAAGTCTATTTTGGCTGTAACAGCAACTTCTAAGTAGATTAATAAAAGCGTGAGTTCAGCAGTGTTGGTAGGGGCCAAGTTGCTACAGAGCAACCAGTACTACGTAACAGAGAACTGAAACCCTAATAGCTTCTGAGCCTTCATTTTTATTTTGTGAACATGTGGGGCCAGTTGACCTTATCCTTGCCGCAGAGTTCCTGAACTGTCATATGCCTATCAAGAGAAGAAAGAAGCCCTGTAGTTTAAGACATCTGCTGAGGAGATAGTTTGGACAGGATCTCACATATTGGACAGCAAAGTTTCCTGACATTTCCCTAGCCTTTTCTTTCTCTCCTCCCCTGCATGTTAGTAAAACAGCAAGTTAGCAAAGCAGAAGCTGGAGTGCTGCCTTGCCATATGCCAGCAGCCCAGGCACACGGCTGGCCATGTGGCACAGGGGAGGTAATTTGCACCTAACGCACGCTTACCGCAGTCAGTCTGTGTATCCAGGTCCGTAAAGGGGAAAGAGGGAAGGAAAAGCACGCTTTCTGATAATCTCACCTCATACTGCCTGATCCCAGGGGGAAAATCTGGTAAGAAACACTGCTTTCTTGGGTGTTAAAACACCTGCTACTTTGTCCTGTGCTAGCAGGGCACGTTTTGGGTGCCTGAGCGATTCCAGATTGTTTGATGAATGGCTTGGTGAAGGAAGGAGCTCAGGAGACCATGAGTTGAGTGACTAGTAACAGACTGATAATGTAGCAAGTAACAATACGTAAGAAATATCTGATAGTCCTTTCAGAAAAGTGGGATGTTGTCAGAGGTCATAGGACTGGGGAGACGGGAGGCACCAGACAGAAGGGCTCTCTTTTCAGAAAGGGCCCTGATTCTGTCACCCTCTATAGATCCCTTCCACCCCCCTTCTCATACTCAGGCAGATGTTGTCTGATATTTTTCTGGCCCGTGTGAGATTTCCTATTCCAGCTGCCTTTTGTGAAAGGTACTTCAGGGCTTCGGTGTTTTCTCAAGTCAATCAAAAGCTGCTCATGGGGTTGGCCTCACAGAGTGGATAAGAAAGAGGAAAATAATCTGTGACTCCTGAGGCAAGTTCATCGGCCTGGGGAGGCAAGTGAACAAATAGAGCTGCTACACTTGTTTGTCTTGGAGTTCAGCAGCTCTTGCTGTGAAGCTGGAAGAAATTGTAGCCTGTTTCCAGAGCAACCAACTTCAGAAGGTACGAATTGCCAAATTTCTGTACGTGAGCGCAGCAGTTACAGAACACAGACCCAAATCCTGGGTTGGAAAAGGAGAAAGGGCACTGCGAAGTACACACAGGCTTTGGTACTACTGGGCTAATTGGAGGTCTGATGTTCTTGTATTATTGATGTAATTATATCAGCCTAATCAGTAGTGTGGATGCTTTTACAGGAGTAGAGTTTATTTTCCTTTCTTCATGGGAATACCTACACGAGTATAAGCAATTTTAGTACTGACAGGTGTTACGGATTTATGTATGCCAGCCACCATAACAGGGCCTGACCCTGGGATCCCGCTGATTAAGTCCAAGTGGAGGTTTCCAATTCCTCTTTTCACAGAATCATAGAACACCAGGTTGGAAGGGACCTCAGGGATCATCTGGTCCAACCTTTCTAGCACAATCAAGACAAGATGGCTCAGCACCATGTCCAGCTGAGTCTTAAATGTGTTCAGCGTAGCGGAGTCAACCACTTCCCTGGGGAGATTATTCCAATGATTGACTGTTCTCATTGTGAAAAATTTACCTCTCGTGTCCCATCGGAATCTCCCTGGGAGTAACTTGTACCCGTTACCCCTTGTCCTCACCATGTGACTCCTTGTAAAAAGGGAGGCTCCGTCTTCTTTGTAACTACCCTTTAAGTACTGGTACATGGTGGTGAGATCACCTCTAAGCCTCCTTTTCTTCTTTTATTAGCTCTCATCATACAGCTCGAGCTGGGTGCCTCTGGAGAGGGACCCCTACCCCAGATCACACCCTTCCATTATACCTGTTCCACCCATCACCCAATCCCCAAGTCCAGTCACTTAATTCTGGTCAGTGGTCTCTTGATTTCTTATTGGTTTTCACTGTGGCTGGGCTGGCCTGCTTCTGAAGGTACCTCATTCTCTTGGAATTGTTTTCTTGGTCCTTACCTTCTTCATTCTGCTCGCATCTGCCCGATTCAGCTAGTTCTGTGTTAGCAGCATTAGTTTTATCAAAAAGTTTACTCTCTGTTAGCTCTTGCGGCCTAAGGCTTCAACTACTTTAGCTGCTAATGCTAAGCTACTAATGCTAAACGAGGCTATCCAGAGAGAAGATAATGGTTAATCAAATTTCTTCTATAACAGTCCTCCTTTTGTTTTGTTTTGGTT